AATGTAGAGCCCAGTGTGAGAGAGAGAGATCTCAGGTTTGTAAATGTTAAAAGGTATGATATAAATTATATACAAATGTATTTCCCTCTAAATGTATGCAAAGACTGCTAAAGCACAAAGTAAACAAATAGCCCATGGGCTAGCATTTGGGCATTAGTAGATTAATTTAAAAAAATTAAATGTAAATGTATGGTTGTATGGCTATATAAAATGTATGGCTATATAAAATGTATGTGGTTACAATGCCCATTTATGAAAGTGCTAAAATGGGGGAAAAAAGGTTTTTACCTGTTACCTGGCTATATTTTGAATGTCGAAAGATGACTTTACAGATACTTAAATTAATTATTCCTTGATTTTTTTAATCAACATCATAATAACATGGGATAGAGGTAAGTGATTTTATTTGTTTACTGTATCTCTATATGTTTTAACCCAAGACCTAGAGGCTTCTTTTCTGCTATTTGCCAATTGTTTTAAAAAGCCTAAACAAGTGAATGAGTCAAAGCATAGTAACAACAGACATAAACATACATTAACGTTATTAATTTAATTAACAAAAATGCTGCACAGATAAAAATGAATTCCACTAACCTCCCAAAATATCTCAATATAGTACAAAATAGTGAAAATGTCACTAGATTAATTGACAAGCAGGCATGAAGAAAAAAGTTGTGAAGCTAATGCACATTTTCAAGGACTGATGCATACTGGCAGAATTAGGTTCAGTAAGCAAAGCTCAGAGGCTTAACAAAGAGTATTGTCTTGACGCCAGCCAGAAGAAAAGTTTAGGGTTTATTTCATTCATAATTCTGGCATAATGCCAGCAGCAGAGCAATTCATATTTCTGGTAAGAACAAACAATAGATATTTATGTTTACTTCAAGCCTGAGACCTAATCCCCAGAAGTAAATGGTTTTATGCACTGGTTGGAGAAGTTGCAGTTATGGTTGTGCTCATGTTTCAGGTGGCTGGTCGGGTTCTCAGATCATGTTCACGCTTGATGTCTACCAGAATGTCAGTTAAATCAATACCAATGCTAGCAAAAATATGCCTTTTAATGAATGGGTTAACTTAGTCTAAATAGCTTTTGGACCTTTGAATGTGATTCATAACACAAAAGGATACCTTACTTCTCAGTAAGGCGATGTTTTGTCATGGGCAAAGCATTGTCCATGACAATAGGCATTATGTACATGTATTATTTAGTCAAGCATGCCACCTTTTTCCCACAGTTCAGGGAGCAGCAGAAGGATAATTATTTAGTATAGTCAGAACTAATTGTAAGGTGGGATGGAGACACTGGTTGAGGCAAACATAATAGGCAATTATAACATTTTGCTTCAATTTTTCATTTGTTTCAATTTGCAAAAACAAAGTTCTAGGTTGAAGTTCACAAGCCTTACCTTAGGTGGCTTATTGTAAGTCATATGAGGGACACCTCCCCCTTCACTCCTGCCATATTCATACAGCTCTGAATGCCAATTCATAAGGTCCCATTCACAAATGAACTGAGTGACTTCAGGTGTTATTTCAGGCATTTCTTTTTTTTAGCCAAAGCAAAGCTAGTTACAAGGCAAAAAGATAAGCTTGAAAAATGTGTGTTATGCACAATTTGTGGGTTTTTCAGGCGGCATTCCTATTGCTGTTAATTGTGGCCAAAATGCGTGACTCTGTTTCAAAAAGAAGCTCATGTACTTATACGAGCTACAGGCCTTTTGCTAAAGGTGACAGAACTCTCAGGTGTGCACAGGGGCCATTGAAAAAAATGTGATTCCTCCTGTTGAACATTGTAGCGCTTAGGAGCTGTGAATGGGGGGTTAGACAAAGGCAATCACAAAATGAGCAGCTAGTGCTGGGCTTTCTCTGTAGACAACCAAGAATACAATCTAATTGAACGCGTGCAACCTGTTTTAAAATTACCGAGAGAGCAAAATGAAAAGTTTTAGCTTCTTTAATGTAGAAAATATGAAGAATATTCTTGGTTATATATTACAATTTAATACACATTTCCATCATTTAGTTTACATTGTAATACATATTCTATATATTAAAACAAACTTTAAAACATGTCTTATTAGTGGTGAATATGTCCCAAAATGTAAATCCTATGTAAATTAAGTTCATTAGTGAATGACAGCAGTTTTTTAAGTGACTGCAGCGGTAGAATCCAATCTGTGTACAAACAGTACAGGTGGCTCTTTAGGTTCCCATTTATGAAAGATCCCACCAAATGTGCACATCTATCCACTATTCATTACATGACATGTACTTCAGAAAGCTTCCCTAAGCAACAGCCTACTTTCTGTGGCGCTATCAGTAAAAATAGTAATTTTTTGAAAAGTGGATTTAAAACTTGTGTTTTGACATACTTAAACTTGATCTGCTGTCACTCATACATGGTCAATGTGTTGCATGATTATGTCTGAATTGTACATATTCTTCATTAATTTGATTCTGGGTATGGCAGAGCAATTACACACTGTTTCCCAGATAGTGCAAGATAAAACTGTGAATATGGCTTATTTGATTTAATATAAAAACCTGCTTCATTGTCGCTTAGGGCTTAGGGCACATAAGATGCAGAGGCCTTTTTAGAGAGGTTGCTTAAGAGACTGCCTGAGCATTGTCTGCACTGGGTTAATTAAACCTTACAAGCAGCAATCCACGTGTGTCTATTGCAATCCTTGCAATGCACTCAGCAAACCTGACAAGCGCAACTTGATGCAAATGGACCTCAGATGGAACAACTTTCTATACCTGCCCTTGGTAGTAAAGTTATCACAGCATATGTGCAGTATCAATGGATACTTCTTATCAGGTAATTGTAAAGCAGTAACCTTAAAAGCTTAACTCCAGCCACATTTTCATTCTAGCATGAGGAATGGAAAGAACATTGGTCAAAATTTTATTGTGTTCTGTAGCTCCATTGGGGAAATTTTACAACAGTCTTTTATCCCTGGACAAGAAATGAGGGGAATTGGGGTCACTGAGACAGCAAGGCATGGGCAGCAGTAATATTTCACTAACTTCCCATCAATTTCTGTACTTCTGACAGGACAGGAAGTGGGAATGTATCTCCTCAATAGGTTCAAAGATAGCAATAAAAACCCTCAGAAATTCTAGCTCTTTGCAACTATGCCAAAAACAAAAGGAAAGGTTTTGGCTGGAATACCGATGTATCACCAAGCAATATTATTATAATGGTATTTTCTAAAGTATGATGGGCACAAATGAACGGAAGCAGTAAGAAAAATATCACCTGATCTGACATCATGGAGATAATTAGTTTAATTACAACACTCTATGATGATCCACAGAAAGAGTTGCCTCTTAAAAAATTCAAAGCAGACCTGAGCTGTAACATTGAACCCACTTTATTCAATCAACCGGGTGTTAGGGAGGGCGTGGGAGCAGTAAATAAGAATAAACTTACCTATCCACTTTAAAAATCTGGTCCCATGAAAACACTTTCTTATCATGTGACGTGATGCTGCCATTTTATGTCACATGACCTGCATCACATCAGCAATCTGACTGATGTCAGCACCCCAGTGCATTGCCACTATGGGTAATTATTTACCAGGTAAATAATACTCAGTTGATTGCTGTAGGTGGATTTTACTCAAAACATTGCTACTGTCAATAAACCTATATGAAATGAAAGACTCTCTTCTAAAGTGATATCTTCTAAAGTGATTGAATCACCAATTTTTAATGAGAGAACAACTATAATTGTTAATACAATTGTTCACTTATATATATTTCCCAATCGTGTGCCCAGGAACCATTACCAGCATGTCAATTACAATCATTTTGTCTTTGGCAGCACCCTCTTGAAATAGCACGAGACAAGGTTCTCAGCTCCCTAACAGCCCCTCAACTGCATCCTGCTCACTCAGTGTGTAGGAGAATTTGCATTACTGTACTTGTTACTTCATGTGTACATTAGCAAAGTGGGCCACTATTATGAAGGGTCACGCTTGGGCCTGCTTCACACCTGTGCATATTTGGTGAAGTTAAACTGCCTGCAAAATACATAATACTATCTGTACCATCACTGTGAATGGTTGTGCATTTAATATGCTATGCATTTAGCTGCACCAACAAGCACAAGTGCAAACAGGGCCTTACTGTTGGAGGTGGAACTTTATGACAGGTGTGCTGCCTTGCTAATAAGGTAATAATGACTGCTAACAGGCAGTGTATAATTTTCTTCTTAAATAATCAGTGCGAATCATTTTAAATGTTACTAGTGAATGTGCCTTTTTCCAATCTTGAAGTAAATCCTTTAATGGGACTCAGGTCATGACACATGGCGTCCATACTAGCTCTCATTCAAAAGGTTCAGGACAAGTGCTTCAATAAAATCAGTGCAATAAATCTATTTTATATATGCAACATAGTATGGGAACATACACGCTTGTGCATTGGTATAGTCAGTGCAACATTGGGGGTATGTGACCATACCAGGACGGCAGATTTAAAACCATCCCTAGTCTCACCAAAAAGACTGCATAAAAGTATACCAAAACTAAGATTGTGCCATGGATATATTTAGGACTATTTATGGTGCTGCTGACAATTCACATTGTATAAAATGTGTGTACAGCTTGCAGTCATTTTTGGAAAGAATAAAGTACACTTTGTGCCTGTGCTGACCATTTACTGAGCACACCAATATATAAATCTGTATGTACCCTAATAGCCTTTGAGGTTTCATATACAGTATGCTTCTGTAACATTTATATTTACACATTTCTACACCCTGTAAGATTGGTTCAATTAGATATTCTAGGTGAGTTAAACCCCTAATTTGATATTTTTTGTGCCAGTAAAATTCTGCTCACTTTACCATATGTAATGGCTCAAGTAATCCTATTTTGAGATATCACAAAATACATTATATTCAGCCGATCTGAACTGAAATAAATGGCAATCCTGCATGTGCCCTTCTTTTTGTAAGAAATATTTCTACTTTGACAAATATGTGCAATTTACTATTTTGGTGATCGAGGATCAGGTCTTGTTTCTCCACGTCTCTTCTTCTGAATTTCACGTTCCAAAGAATGTCTACTTCTTGGGGGTGGAACTGGAGTGCTACTTTCTTCGAATGGCCCTCTGTCCTCTCTCAAGGTTCCAAACCTTGGTTTGGGTATTAGTGGTTTCCCTCTTTGCAGGGGTAAGCCATCTACTGAACTGGATTCCTTAGTCTTACTATTTAGCCTCTCATCAGTCCACTCTAGCCTGTTGTTAAACGGAGCACGTTTTTGCCTATCATTCCGCAAGATGTCTTTGGCTCTGGGGTAGAAATTTAACTCCTGGCTGGAGGAACCACCATCAGAATCACTGTCCCCTACTGTATATAACAAAAACATAATGAGAGCAAAATGATGGTGAATATACTGACATTGTTAAAGCAAACATCCAACTGCAATATTGAAATAAAGAATATTTCTCACTCACATCATTATCAACACTTAACATTTGAGAACTGACTTATTTCTCAGTGTAAGGGAAGTATGGTATCAAACAGCCTGTACTGATCCAGATTCAATCTTTGATTTTCTAATTTTTATTTCCAAAGCAGTGAATTTGATTGCTTGTTATGAAGCAAACATTACCTAAGACTCTTTTTGTTACTGTAAATAACACTCTTTTGCCAGCCCCTATATTACTTATTGCTACTGTGACTCTACTGTTCGCTATAAGGGGCACTTAATTGTGTAACTTTGCCTGTAACAGGTAAATGTACACATTTACTCCTGTCCAGAGTTCCAACTTGCCAAGGCCAGTGCAGTGTCTGGAGTACAAATGATATATTGACACTACAGATTTTTTTTGTACAGATTTTGCAATACTGTAGCGGGCGGCAATTCCAGTAACAGAATCACCTAGGGCTTATATTAATGAGAAAATACACCTTGTTTTTAATTGCATTTAACATCAGTTTGAAATATTTCAGAGATCAATCTGACCTGGAACAAGTAGAAAGTAAATAAATCAGAACTCCCCATATGAATGAGTTTGTCAGATGTCTGGTCCTCCGCAGGCCCATATATCACTATAGGATACAGTATTTACATAGGGGCCATTCCGATTGAATAAAAATCACCCACAGAGAGAACCTTGACCAGGTAGCTAAAGAATAACCCAATTTGCTGCAATAATTGACCCTTGTGTGAGATCATTTCCACAAAAGAGCTTCAAAGTCTAAATCGGTCGTTGTCAACCCATGAGGTATGAGGGGGCTCAGATGCTGCCTTTGACATCACCAAAGGACTACGCAAAATATTCAGTATATATATAAATGCTAGGACAGACAGAACATGTAATGATGCTTTGACACTGTGTACATTCCACCGGTTTGGTTGGAGACTATATACATGCTGCGCAAGACAGTAGGAGATTTGGGACATTTTACATGAGGCTAGCAGAAATCAAGGCTATTGCCAAATTGCAAATCAATGCTCTTATTCTCACTGCAGACTGCTGGGGTCTAAGGGCTGCACAACAAGTACCAAGAGGCTGCATGTAGCCCTCAGGCGTCAGTTGGGGCATGAGGGAATAAAATACTTGGCATTTCAGACTATTGATGTATGCACAGAATGAACATGTATGGTATTTGTTTATAGGAAATCAAGATGACATGTTTTATTTAACTTAATCTCACCTCTAAAAGAAGTTGTATTTTTTCCTCTTGCTTTTTCAGAAAGTTTTGTGTGTCCAGGAAGAGACAAATACCGGGCCTGATGAGCAGTAGCCTAAACACAAATGAACAGGACTGTCAGACCTGTTTTTCAACAATCAGTGTTTAAACTCTATTCAATCAATAAGTGGCATACTGGGCAAACCAGACTGCTATAGCAATTAGTAGATGTCTGACTCCATAAATTATTAAGCTTTGCGTGATATACTTAGAGGCAAATTGGTAAATTAGTATAGAAATATAGCAACCTTATAAATAATCAAAATAATGGTTAAAGGAATTTTGTCACTTTGTCCGCTCAAGTCAACATGACAAGTTCTTTTAAAAGCCCACCCTGACACCCACTAATACTTACCTTCATCTGTGCTTCTCCACTGCTCCGTTCGTGTGTAGAAATCCCTTGGAAATACCCAGTACTTCTAGGTATGGACAGCATATGAACTTCTTCCACATCCTCCCACTAAGCAGTGCTCACATCAAATAAAAAAGTGACTCAATCTTATCTATTTAAAACTAAACTGCAGGAAAATAAGTGCATGCTGTTTTAACTGTCAAGGCATTTGTAATTCTGTTTAACCAGCTTTGTGTTTTGCAAGAAAACATTGCCAGTATTGAGACCTTACTAGTCTACACTGCAGTTAACCAGCAATGGACCTTGGACATATAAAGTACACCCAAAACCGTAATCAAAAGAACTTTGGTGTATTTTAAAGGGGTGTGATATTATTTGTTAGATCACATTAGCTCTGACAGCTCTGTTGTGAACTAACAAATTGGAGCCAATCAGGAGGGGTTTTCTGACCATGTGATCACCATGACAGCCAGTCCCATGAGCAGGGTACTTGAGCAATGTACCTAATAAAAGTCTTATATGTCCTTAAAAAACAATGCAAATATTTGCCATAGAGTTATTGTCATGTTAACTGGCACATACTGATACTTCTAAATTTGGTCTGGACATCTGTGCATCCATTACCTATTGTAATGAAAGGGTTAATTCATCCCAGCAAACTTGTATTTATTTTCTATTGTAATGCAAGCCCAATGGGAAAGCTATATCTCTGATAGTGACTTGGGCACTAATAGAGTGATGCACTCTATTTTATAGGCAGTTGACCACCATGGATAGTGGAGGTTTTATGTATTTGTGTATTGTGTGTGGATACTATTGTTTTTTTTTTTAAATATGTCTTTCTCTACTAAAAATGTTTTTGTATTGAGTGATGTATATAATGGGTTTAATAAATATGATCAGTTTTGGAGCACAATTTGTAGAGTTGTAAGATTGCGTCTCTATTTCAAAGTTTTTTTTTTCTGTCTAACCTGTTATTAACTCTTACTTAACCCCAATAAGCCCCAACTAATTTACCTATTCTCTACATTTTGTTTGTTTTCTTTAATTTTGGTCGCTTCACATCTCCTCAAGACAAATTGAAGATTAAATAATTAGTGATCAATAATAAGTGATACATTTTGTATCTAATTTTTCTAAAACTATGTCTGGCCAATCTAAAAAAAGATATTATATATACACACACATAGAGTATTTAACTGTATACAATTAAAAAAAATAGAAAATAAAACATAATATTATTAAAAGAAAACCTTATTTGTCTAAAAAAACTATAATTTTAATATCAAAAGTTACTGCCCAGTCATAAGGCCCACAGCTAAAATGCAAAAATTGTTCAGTGCTGTCTACCCTTTTCATGGAGGGATATTTTCACTATATGTGCATAAACTAAAGATGTGAAATCACTACTTAAATTTTGTAGCAAGCACCTCCAGGTCATACATAGACAAGATATTCTATTCAACATAACTGGTTTCAAAAACTTTATAGGACTGTGTTTCTGATGCAAACAATTTTAACAAATAAAACACAGAAGACACCAATATAATATGGAAAGCTGGTCATTTGCATTTGCACACCCTTCTCCTTCTGGGGTAAAATGTTAACTTCTTGAGCCTTTTTTTCAACCCTTTTAAACAAGATTAATTTTATCTAGTAGCCCATTATACTGTAGCCTCTTCTCATCTGCAAGAATTTAACCCATCTATGGGTGTTTCTATGGTTAGAGATGTTGCACCTGAGAAGACATTATGCTGGATCTGTGTGGGTAAATGTATCCTTCAGCAAAGAGGTAAAGGTGCATGCTAATTTTATTTGAGAATTGGGACTTACAGCATGCACTCTTCCTCTGGGAGCTGGCTGCAGTTACAACTACTGTAGGCTAACTTTGTATGCCAGTTGCTTGCAAAACACAAAAATAGTGTATTCTTGTCAATCAAACAATATTTCCGTAGTCCGATCATATATTTATTACAAAATGAAACTGTCCTTTCAAAAACTAGCGGTTTTGAAAATTCCAGCACAATAGAGTTTTGGAAATAAGGAAACACATATAATACAGGTAGAAACAAGTGTACCGCTCTGTTCCTTGTTATAAGACTATTATGCTTCCTCAAACTCTCTCTTATGGTGTGCCGACGGCGGATCAGGATTTCCTTAGCTTGTTTTTCACTGGTCCCACTTGCAAGATTGTGCCGATTATAGGAGAGCGTCTGGAACAAATAATTACATTGCAAACTTGAGAGACTTTAAATCTACACATCAATTAAATGATATCTAACAGTCACATTAATGCTCCACCTATTGAAAAAGCACATATAACATACTGGCAAACTTTCTAGAAAATGCAATAAGGGCAATATTAGTTAATGTTAGGTTATAGTTGGTGAACTGGGACTAGACATAAAAAGAAATAAGCTACGTGCACCCATATAAAACAAGTCTTACCCGTTGACGTATCTGATAGAGGTTTCTTGATAAGACATCTCGCATTTCATTAACGTCAGTTGGGGAAAGAGCTTTCACTTTATTCTTTTCATATGTTCTGGTAAAAAAAAAAATCAAAAATAAGGTAATAAATGCAACTCTTTAAAAAGCAAATGCATACACTGATGTGATTACTTATATGTAAATACATAAAAATACTAATTCCAATTAAAATGACATACTACTTTTAAAGTGGTGAGTGTTCACTAGAAATAGCTGCTTAATATCAGTTTGTTAGCCTTTTTTTTTAAACCTGTCCTTTTACTTTTCTAATTCTGCTGATTTCCTGTTGATCCACACCACCCACTGTTCTAATCAAAAAATAAGAATATAAACACACTGATTGTGTGTTTTCTGGCCTCTGAAAACTGATGAGGTTGTTTTTGATGCAAGACTATTGGCACAACATTGTTTTTATATTTATATTTTCAGCACAAAAACATTGTGCACAAGTGAATTCTCATCATCTGTATGTATTTGTTACAAATATTTTTAACACATGCAATATTTTGGAGCACATTAATTAATCCTTACTCTTAATCTCAACCTAAACCCAAATTCTGTTACCCAATCAGTACATTATCACTCTCCTAACACATATACCCAATGCACACTAGGAGTTGACAGAGGGATGAAAAGGATGCAGCCATTCGGGTTGACTTACTAGAAGAATAGAGACTGTTCCCTTGGCAAAGTGAATGTTAGTAAATACGAAACCGTAATTTTGATAGAGCATGATTGGTTGATTAAAGAAAATATAGGTTACTTCAATCAGCAAGTGCCTATGGCATAACAGGGCAGTGGCTGTGAAAAAGAAATTTTCTGATACACCAGGTATTTTACCTGTAATCATCTTATTTATTCCTCCTGTAGGTTATACCTTGAAAAACAGAATTTTGGTCTTACTGGTGAAATCTATTACCTAGAGTACATCCCAGGACACGGGGCGATCGGCTTCTTAACCACTGGGTTATCCAGATACCTTCAGGTGATTGGATACTGCCAAATTACAGCCCTGTAAAGCCCATCCCACTCCCAGCCTGCCATGGTTTTGTAGCAAGCAGTACAAGAGTGGATCACACAAAATAGAGAGAAAGGTCCTGTGAAGTACTCCAAGAAACTGATTTTACATGTTAGATAGAAAACCTGTTTTCTTGATCATACATCACAGGACACAGAGAGCTAAATTCCTTAACCATTGAGACATCCAAAAGCAGTCCTACAGAGAAGAGCTAACGGGCCCATGAAAGAACAACAACCACATCCCTAATAGGGAATTAGAAGAAAAGTGTGCACAATATCAGATGGCCGCCTGAAGGACTTTGCAACTGAAATTGGCAACTGGCCTGAATGTCCACCTAGTAGAAACCAGCAAAAATGTGAACTGAGGACCAGGTGACAGCCTTGCAGGTTTGGGATATCAAAGCCTGATGCTGAAAGGCCAAAAAAAATGACTAATGCTTCTATTGAAGTGTGGTTTGACGGAGAAGGGGAAACTTTCCCCTTCAGCTTGCAGGCCTATAGTAATAGTCCTATGAATCCACCTAGCAATAGTGAAACAAAAGGCCTGATGTCCCATGTGGTGAGCCTTGTTAATGACAATCAGGGAATCTAATCTTCAAATGAAGTACATTTCTCTAACAGCCCAAAACACGTCTGTATAATGGAGAAAAAATTATTTAGGATATTTTGATGTAGAATATAAGGAAAGTAAAACAATGTCTGGGTGAAGGTGGAAAGCAGATACCATTTTAGGTAGAAGGGAGGCCTTAGGCCTCAGCACAAACGTGTTTTTTCAGAAAAACGCAGGAAAAAAAGAAGCAGAATTGATTGCAGTGGGGAAAGCTACCTTGCAAGTGAGTAGAGTCAAAGGGATATCTCTGAGAAGTTCGAAGGATAGCTTCTGAAGAAGTGACAGAACAATGCTGAGGTCTCACCAAGTCACAAGAAAACATACAGGAGGAACAATATGAGTGAACTCTGTACAAAAGCCTTAACTAGAAAGTTATGGTACTAAGCCCAAACACTGATTTAGGCCAGACTGAAGGAAGAATAAAATGTATCTCACAAAGTACCTCCTAGGATGGAATTTCCTTGCTTCACAGCAAGTGAAAAAAGCCTTCCAGGTACTATGGCAGACCTTACAGGAGGTGAGTTACCTAACTTTTAGGACTGTAGTGATACATCTGAAAGGCCTTTTTCCTTCAGGACTTTGGTTTTAACAGCCATGCCTTGAAAGCCAGCAAACAAGAAGCAAAGTGGAATACTGGTCCTTAGGTAGCACGCACAGAAAGAGTGCAAGACGTTTGACTATGTCTGCATAAACACGATATTCTGGGCCAGTTGGGAGCAATGAGGATTGTCTGAGTGCCCTCCAGCTCAATCCTGTAAAGGAGACGAGGAAATATCTTGAGAGGAGGGAAGACGTAGATCAAGCTGAAGTTGTCCCAAGGACTCACTGATCAAGCCTGGAGATCCATGGTCCTGGCAACAAACCTGTCCAGCTTGTTGTAGAATCCGAACACCAAGAGATCCATGCCCAGCATTCCCCACTGTTGAAAAGGTTCTGAAACACCTTCCACACCTGAAATGTGTACGGTGGAAAAGGCCAGAATGTGAAGTTCTACCGAAGCCAGAATTAGCTCAGCTTCTCTATGAGCTACACAACTTCTAGTGTCTTCCTGATGGTCGATGTAAGCCACGTCCATGGTGTTATTTCACTGAAACCTCATCCGTTGACCCTGCAACTGAGGAGTCCAGTATTGAAATGACAACCGAACCACCCTGAGTTTCAAGATGTTGAGCAGGAGATGAGATTCCTCTGATGACCAGGAGATCCTTAAACCAGAAGGCCCTCAAGGACTTCTCCCTAGCCCAACAGGCTGGAATACACCAGGTCATCAGGAGGAAGGGTTTGTCCTAATTCCAGCACCCGGTTGGAGATCCGCCATGCCAGGACAAGCTTCTTCTTGCTGCACAGATGAATGGAAAGATCGAGAGGCTGAATCTGAATGTCTGAAGCAACCAGAATGTTGAACTTCAAGGGCCTGGAGTGAAACTGAGCACAAGGAACTGCCTCAAAAAAAGGATACCATCAGTCCCAGAAACTTTATGCAACAGCAAATGGCCAGACGGCTCCTGGGCCATAGGGTCTTGGCATGGGAACAGAAAGAAACAAGGTACTCCAAAATAAAAAAATAACCCAGGAGAGATACTGGAAGCAATGAGAGGGCTCCAGCGATTACTTCTAAAGGTTCAGGATCCATCCAAAGTACTGCAGAGTTTGTATCATTCGCCAAATTAGAGCCAAGCAGAGCCAGCACTTTGGTGAAAACCCAGGGTGCAATGGACAGGCCAAAGGGAAGAGCAACACATTGCTGAGCACTCAAAGCAAAAGAAAAGGTAGGGATGTTGAGCAGGAAAAATGGGGATCTGTAAATACCCTTGGTGCCCTCCAAGGCCATGAAATCGCCTAGGTGAAGGGAAATGAAGACAGAATTAGTAGACTCCATACAGAGCTCTTCATCCTGTAGGAACCCATAGAGAATGTGTAGATCAAGAATAGGGCAAACACCTCCCTTGGCCTTGGGGACAGTCAGCAGGTTGCAATAGAAGCCCTAAAATTTTTGTGCTTCTGGAACAGGGACAATAACCCCCGGAGGGTGGAGATGACCTAGAGCAGTGTAGAGATCTGTCCATCTTTGAGCAGGTCATGACACCCTGAACCCAGGCTTTGGAAATATCCCAGGACCAAAGAGCCGAGAGCGCTAATAGACATTCCACTTGTAAATGTGGGGACACCCCTTCATTTAGCAGAGGGCTTGTTTCCAGACTTTGTGGGCTTGGAGGACCAGGCCTTATGATGGAACACTGTGGCCTGCTTAGTCTTGGAAGCTGAGGACTGGGAGGGACAAAAGGAGCTTTTCTTAAAGGAGAGAGCAGAAGAGTTGCCATCAGAGGTTTTGGCTTCTTCTGAGGTAAAAAGGAGCTTTTGCTCCCATGACTTCTATGCTGTAACCAAGGATTCCCCAAAAAGACATTCCGCAGCAAAGGACCTGTGATCTAGACATTTTTTGCAGGAAAGCTCCACAGATCCGCAAAATTTAAGCCATAGGGCCATCTGCATGTAAACAGACAGGAGACTCCTCCTAGAGATTTGGCAAACAGTATCTGCCAAGCTATTAACTTAGTAGCATGAGGCCACTGGGAAAAGTTCTAAACGTTTAATAACGTCAGGATGTGTCAAAATACGTACATAACTGAACCAAACCAATATGGTCTGGCATACCACCATGGTAGCAGCAGCATGTTGCATAACTGGGCCTGCAAGGGCAAATAAAGAGAGCTTCTAACCTCTTGCCAGTGTGGTCCTTGAAAACAAGGGCATCCTCTATGGGGGCTGTGAGGGTTAGGCACTTTTCTACTGTGGGACATTTATACACAGCAGAGTTGTGGACTGTTATTTACCCACTGCCTTTTATAAACGCTGTTTTAGAAAAGCCCCTAGGGTGGCCAATGCACCTGCTGATTGCTGTGTACCAAGCTGTTATCAGATGATGGTGCACAGCTGATCAGAGTGGCTCTGCAGCATGTGATTGCTGTGATAACCAATCACAGCAATCAATGCTACTGTTTACATTGTTATTTTCTCCCCTTTCTCATGCAACAGAGGAAGGAGAGAAATTAGTAATAACATATGATAAATGTATAAATGGATCAACAGCTTTGTGTACTATTATTAAGCTCCATCTTTTCCCAGCTCAATACTAGCGTATCTCTTTAGTTACAGAAAATTATGTAAAAAAATATCACCTTGGGGTGTCTACTTTCCAAAATGGGGTCCTTTTGAGGGTGATTGTACTGTCTTGGCGTTCTTATTTTGACAAAAATAACAAAATATATTTTTAACTTTCTATAGTAAAAAAAAAACAAAAAAACAGTGGTTATTAAATGCCACCAAAAGAAATACCTATTTGTCTAAAAGTATTATATAAATCATAGCACTGACAGCTGAAAAATGGCCTGGTATTGAAGGGTAATACAGGCTGGCACTCAAGTGGTTGAACAAGAGATGGCAGAGTCTAGAACAGGGATAGACAATTTCTTAAGGCAGCCATCCTCAATAGGATACTACCGGACAAACTGTTTGGGAGGAGTAAACATTTTTTCAGGGTGATTTCTGTCACCATGCAACAGAGGCTGCAAAAGCAAGTTTACAGGGAAAGTTTTGGCATGTTCGAACAATTTAAGGAAGACTAGTGACCTTTGGAAGATTGGCACAGACGACTCTAACTTTAAGATGTTTACCCTGAAGGGGCACGTTTGTGACCGCTAAAGACTGAATACTCAAAGATGTCCGTCATTTTCCCCAAGAAGTCAGTCATAAGTGCAGTAAACTCCTTTCTGGATAATAGGGAAGAGAAGGGTGCACTGGAGGGTGCAGAGGTGGTCCTTGATGCAAAAAGTGATGGGGAGAAGGAGCAAAGCATGAGATCATTAAAGGCAGTGTCCGTAGAGGGGTAGAGCCATCCCCAAAATTGTTGTCAGGATGTGTGACCCCAGCAACACCTGCCCAGAAATCCCTGCATCTATAATCTGCCATGGTTGCCCTTATTAAGGTGCCCAAACACTGCACGATTCTCGTACGAGAATCGCGGGAAATCCCACGATCGCACGAGAATCGTGCAGTGTATGGAAGGCGTGCGACTGTTTCTACTGTACGGTCACACGTCTTCCATCGAACCAGCATGCTAGAAAACCCGCCGGGAATCATACGATTCTCGGCGAGTAAGTGGCCTGCTGGTTCGACAACTGCCGAACGGGCTGGTGTGCGCACGCGCACACAGCCCGTTTGCGGTCATCGTAAGCCCGCCCCTCATTACAGTCATCGTAAGCCCGCCCCTCAGGGGGGCGGGCTTGCGATGATCGCAAGTACGATCTGCCTGTCCAAGATATGCAGATCGTACGTTTTTTTAAGTACTTTACAACCCTCGCAAGACAAAAGTCTTGCAAGGGTTGTAAAGTGTATGGCCACCTTTACTCATGATATGTAAGCGAGAAGGGTGCTCTGAGCCCTGATACTTGCAAACGGAAGGTGACCCAGGCTTCTATCCGCTTGCTGTGTCTTTACAGATTCACAGTGACATCAGAAGCAATGTTGGGCATAGTCTGCCAAGGCTATGCTGAGGAGTAAACTGATCCAGATAGCTGCTGGAGGCACCCAGTAGTTTTTAGCAGCATGGAGAAACTTACAAGAATCTTGTTAGATAAAGAGGTGCAGAAAAGGATGAACTTTTTTTCTCAGAGCTGAGAGAAAGAGTCCATCACCGAGGACATTAGCAAAAAATTGAAACAGGCTGGAAGTAGGAGGGGTTATACAGGGCTGACTTACAGATTTGGCTGATTTGCCAGTCAATGTAACTCCTTGTGTACTGTGATTTACGATCAAGAGACTAACTTATGCTTTATGGACCTATGTGACTCAAACATGATTTAAGATTTTCTCGGTCAGTAAAAGCACCATATAACAGCTTCTACATACATATTCCTAAGCTCTCTAATTTTCATGATCAGTTTCATACGAGTTGTGTTGTTTGTCTGTTGTTTGTTTTTGCCATATTGCCACTGGAAAAAAAATATATTATTGACAGCTACAAGTTGTGTTTATTTTTATAGAGTAATACATCCGCATTACCCTTCAAACCTATGTAGAACACCAAAGACTCATCAAAATTCCCCTCAGACCAATGTAAGTGCTTTGTGGATCAATGAATAGCCATCTGGCACAGACAAACAAGAGACACATTTTCATGAAGTCTAATTTGTGTTGTACTTACCCCAGTGATGACAAAGATGGGTCCCTACTCATGCCAGATTCTGCCATCTCGATGGCTTGCTTGATTTCCAGCTTTTTATATAATGACACAATGCTTGATTTTGGCTCATTGTCTCGTATCAGTAGTCTACGCAGATATTTTTCATCAAATTGCTTAAACCTATTTTCAGACAGAAGTCTTAAATGAGTATTGTAGCACACATTCTAGATTAGATGCAACCTGAAATCTGTATGGGAATGCTTTCTGCTGTAATGGTATCAACTGACAACTTAAAAATTTTTCAATACTAAGCTACAATTTTGTCCATGCAGAACACACTCCAGGTAGCAAAGTGGTGGCCACCTGTCTAGCATGTCCCTCAAATTGGAATGGATCTTGCAGTTTCATATTTCCCATCTCTGCATAGATGTGTAACAATGATAACAGTATAAATATGATTTAAGAGCACTGATACATCAGTAAATTGGACTTCTACACAGACAATCTAACAACAGTAGGATGAAGGTTCCACTCCACTGTCGCTCAATAACATTGCTAAAAAAATATCTGTATAATGTCAATGCAACTCTATAATTCATTAAAAGGATTCCTAAAAAGACATCCATGTAAAAAAGAGGGCTTATCTTTCTGCCTGCCCCCCCACCAAATGCTGCTTCGGTCCTGGCAAATGGTCCCCTAAAGTCCGCTGGGAAACTTACTTGACATCCCTTACAGTGATGTCAATCTCCTGGATACCAAGAAGCTCTCCTTAAAGGAGAACTATGGGGTCAGTGTTTTTCCCCATAGTTCTCCTTAGGGTAACGGGAGGACACAAACTAGCGTCCTCCCGTTACCCTAAGCTCAGTATACCGCGAGCTACAGCTCGCGGTATACTGAGACGCCGCACCTGAAGCGGATCCTGACGTAGATGACGGGATCCGCCCAGCTGCGTGAGTGACAGCTGGCTCTGCCTATCCAGAGGCAGAGCCAGCTGTACCCGCCCCCTACCCCGTCCGTTCCGCCAGTCAGCGCTGGCAGTTCGGAGCGGGGAGAGGGGAATCCAGCCCCTCCCCCTGTCACGGCAGAGAGCCGTGACAGGATCGAGAGGTGAGGGAACCCGGTATGTGTTCCCTCACCTCCCGATCTACTGAGCCGACCTGTGACAGTCTCATTGTCACAGGTCGGCTTAGAACTATGAGGTGAGTGGAAATCACTCATCTCATAGTTCTCCTTTAATTCCTCCTGCTGACCTCCATGCATTAAACAATATAGTAGTGATGTGTAAGGTATGTATTTAACCTCTTTTTTTACAGGTATGTATTTTAAGGGGATGTTTTAGTTAATGACAATCACTACTATGGCCAGGGCACATTCCAGAACAAATACTTTATACAGATCCGGAGTTCTGTCTTCACTGGCTGCACTGCTGCCAACATGATTTTACTCAGTTTAGGTTTTCTTTAAATGAATCTGTCAACTTACACATTAACACATATTTATGACAAAGATTTAAAAAGAGAAGGTAAGAACATTGTATTCTCTGTATACATACAGTTTGTAGGGCTTTCTACAAAGCAAGCACCACCCTAGTACTTTGGGTGTTGTACCATAATCTGGTAATTACTTAATCTTGGCAAATACAGTTCAGCATAAAATGACGTGCACATTAATTATAGCATTTAATGGGTGTGATACAGCATATAAATTGTAATGTTTTAACCTACTTGTCTTTGCAGTAGTTGTGTCCCCAGTGGCCACATACATCCTCAATGCCTGCCTTTGTGTGATCTAAAAACTGAGGATAAAATTACACTTTATTATTGATGTGTACACAAAGTATAGACAAAAGTCATTTGCAGCAATCATTTGATATCACCCACTGTTATCTGTATCCAATTCACATTCAGTACAGATTCCCATGTCAGTAATATCAGATGTGACTAATATATATATATACTTTTTTTTTCCTATTTCTACTTTTCTAGAATAACAGGGTTTTTTAATAATGATTACAAGAACTATTGTATTAAAGGATCAGTTTATCCATAATGATATTTTAGATATAGGTGGAAGCTGGCCAGCAGAGGCAGCCCCTGGCTTTTTACATGCATTTGATATTCCAAATTTTTAAAACTTTCTCTTGCGGGGCTATCCCTGCACTTCAACAGTTAAGTGTTTGTTTTCCCCAGGGGATGGAATAAAGCAGATATACTCACCCAATCCTCAGTCCCACAGAGCTGCTAGACCAACCCGCAACCTCTTCTCACCTGGGCTCCGGCGGTCTAAGGACTGCTGATGTCATCATGTCTAATGCAGATCCATTGCAGCAGACATAACCCCAAGGGACATTCCACAACCGAAACGGAGTTGAAGAAAGGTAAGTGGTGACCGGTACAGGCCAGGTTCAGGTAATTCAGCTTTATTCCATCACCTAGAGAATAAGAGCACTTAACCCTTGAAGTGTGGGGGTAGACCCACTGCAAGGGAACGTTTTTAAAATGCCCAGCATTCTTCTTTAAGTTCCGCCTGTCGTAATTTCTGGCTGTGTTTCTATCCGTTTGAGAATTTTGGGTATTGCTGACCATATGCATGTTCCAGTACCTCTACATTCTCCGTTGTACAATTAAATACCACACCCAACAAAAGTAGCAGAAACCCCTTACAATAATCACAAAAAGTGTGCAGACAAAGAGTTTTATCTATAGATTTACAAGTAGGATAACAAACTGTGTTGGGTGGACTGCCTCTATAATACTAATAGTAAGTTTTATTATAGAATTGTTCTGTATCTTCTTTTCAACTTAGGAGTATTCAGAACACTGCGAGTACAATGTAATATTTTGCCGCATATGTATTCAAAGTTACTCATAACTTTACAAAGATGACTTTATATCATAATATGTTATCAACAGTAACTAAAACATTAATCAAAGTAGAACAATACCCGGCTATGGATTTCATCACTGATCATCTGCTGCTTTTTATTTGCCTTCTTCACATTTAGAATTTCTACCAGTGGACGAATGGTAGTACCCTAAAAAGGATAAACAAATAGGTGTATATCATTGTTCATTGAATACTCATTCAACCTACCTCAATCTAACCACTGAACCATCACATTCTCAAATAATTCATCCCCACACGGCTTCCTCCTCATGTATCTTTTCCCCCTCCTCTTTCAGATTGTAAGCCCTCAGGGGCAGGGCCCTCTTTACCATCTTGTCTTGAATTGCAGTGAATGTAATGTCTTCCTTATATTATAAAGCGCTGCACAAACTATAAATACTATGTAATAATAATAATAGTTAACCCACAACTTTTACACAGCATTTTAAGAAATGGGTTGTTTTAAAATAAAGAAAAACATTGGAACTGTACTGGCTAATTCCCTAGATACAGAGGCCAGATTTTTTTTAAAAACAGTTTAAAGTAAACCTCTACATCTTGAGCACCAGTGAGGCAGGCTGTCACTGGAGGCTCAGGCAGCGAGTTAGGTGGAGCTGGATAAAGCAGCGTTTACCTTAGTGAACCTGTGCAGCTGGCAGTCTTAGCGGGATAATGGGTAGGAGAGCTGCACAGAGGGGAACTCAGACCTTGGGGTGCATATATTGAGGACAGTGCGAGGACTCTGCGCAGTACAGAGGTGTGGCAGCCAGCTACATCTACAGGCAGAAGGAGGGAGCTGGACACTCTGATTAGGAATGGGGGGCTGACTGATTCCCGTTGGTTCTGCCCATGTCTCTTGCCTAGCAAGGTGTCAGGGCTTGTTCACATCTATGCATGGCATTAATTGCATGATTCTGTACAATTAATGCACACTGTTGCGCAATGCACCAACCATGTTGCATAGTGGCAGGCGTGTTGCAATTTATTTGAATGGCACCCGAACGCACCTCCTGGTCACAATGCACTACCACAGAGTGCAATTAGTTGGGCTGTGTTTGGCCCCATGATTTCTAATGGTGACCCTGGCAAGCAGCATAATGACAGGAGAAGAGAACAGAGCGACAAAGCAAGGAGCCCATCAGTTTGCTGCTTCTTGTTTCACTGTCCAATCACAGGGTCGGGTAGATTGCAGAACTGTAAATGTCATTGAGCTGCAGCAGAGCAAAATCAGGACTCCAGCCCTGCCAGACATGATGGACAGAAACACAAAACTTATTAAATCCCATATAAGCAATTCATCTGTGTATTTAGCTGGAGTTCAGCTTTAACTAAAAAAACAAAAAGGCCTGAAGAAGTGATGTGCCTCATTGTTACATGAAGGGTCTTGACGAAGGTCCCAGTCAAGGGTCAAATTAGCAAACTTCTTCCTACAAGTTTCACAAATTCTAAAAAAAATGTTTTCCAATCTCACCTGAATGAAAACTGTGAAAAAAATCACCACAATTGCTGAGGTAATAAAGAGATTCTTTCTTGGAAATACAGAAGAATCAGGGAGGAGGAAGACCAGTGAAAAACATATTGCACCCCGAAGCCCTCCATATGCAATGATGAACTGGTCTTTTGTAGTCAACGTTATTGTGCGGAATCGGTTGATTATCAGAGTCAGAACAAATACACCTAAACAAAACAAATAAACCTTTACTGGACACAGACAAGAATAAAAATACAAAAACACTTCTGACTATACATACACTCATGGGGACAATTAGAGAATGTGAGGGAGAAGCCAGGAAGGGAAGCAGTGCAGAATTAACAGTCACAATTGGTCATCTTCTCTCAGGTGCATGGCTTCTATCTTTTATTTTCAAAGTTCATCTCAACAGACTGATGAGAGAAGCTGATAGGTTACTATACAGAACTGCTCCAGATTCTGTCTGCTCCAGTTTTGATAAATTCTCCCATGTAAGTGAATAATGATTCCATGTGCCACAATCAAACCAAAAAATTTTTGATAAAAAAGTCACAGTCTGGATGGACAAAATTCCAGATATGGCTGCCCAGTGAAATATTAGTGACTGATGCTAACCAAAATCAGCAACTCATAAGTGTAAAAATTCTAACTCTAAATTAATAATTGTCCATCAACTTATATAAAGTGCCAAGTGCTTAAAGTGATCCTCCTTGTGCCACACACGAATCCCCCCTGGGCAGTGCACACTCACCGCATAAAGATCTTTTTTTCACTTTGTGGGTGACTGAAGCAGGTATCAGGTCAGATTGGTCTTAGCGTTCACTCCAGAAGTTTATCGAATGTTGATTTCCATATGTGAAGAAATTAAGAGGAACTCCTCATGGTGTAATATGTTTGCAAACGTTTATTAGTAAAAACACATAAAAACTCACATATCCAAATGAAAGCGGGCGGTGTCTCGTGAGCCTCCGTGCTCACTTCCGCAATCTCTCTGACATTGTGACGTAAGATAGGCCCGCCCCGACGTGTTTCGTCACACAGTAAGTTCTCAGTGAGACCTGCTATCCCCTTGAGAATTTACTGTGTGATGAAATGCGTCGGGGCGGGCCTATCTTACATCACAATGTCAGAGAGATTGCGGAAGTGAGCACGGAGGCTCACGAGACACCGCCCGCTTTCATTTGGATATGTGAGTTTTTATGTGTTTTTACTAATAAACATTTGCAAACATATTACACCATGAGGAGTTCCTCTCCTTTAATTGTGTCTAAGCATGCCCTCAAAAATTTTACTATTGAATTCCTCCTGACAAATAGTGTAATTTTGGTATATAACCTCCTTTACCTACACAGGCTCATACAGTAACTGCATCCGCAGTGTGTGATCTAAGGCACTGGCACCTCTGACTGCAGGTCTCAGCAGATTTGTAGTGAGATTTGGTGATGTCACTACTGTGCTGCTCATTGTTCTTCTTACTGGAGGCTCTGACATGAGGAAGCATGACTTTACTAAGATGGCCTCTAGACAGCGACACAGTGCAGAACAAGGCATGGTAACTTAGTAATGGGAAAATTATTAGCTGCAGGAAGACAGCAGGCAATACTGGTGACTAGTTTTTTGCCCACTGCTTGCTTTTTGGGGCAGAGTTTCCAGTGTTCAGTTCCTCTATAATTTACATTAATTGATTTAACTGCAGTGAATGTTTGGTGAATGTCACATTCAATGCTTTATACTTTTTGCTGCTGACTAATACTTGGTACCCTGTTATAAACAGTGGAGTGATTGCAAAGTAAAGTGAAAAAAAAGCAGCCTTTAAAAATGTATTTTACAAATATGGGTAATTCCTTAAGGATGGATAAGGCCCAAAAATATGGTCAAATACCTGTAGAAAATCAATGTGACTGTGTTCTTGTATTATTATGTTTTCCATTAGTAAACTAAAACAAACTGGTAAGTGTTTTTGCTTTATTACGACAATGAAAACTGCTTTGTACAGGAACTCCAATTGTTTGTGGTTTAGGAGGAGTCATTAGTTTGTAATTTAGGATCAAGCCCTACAGCAAACAAAATTGTCCTTGTTAAATGACAAATTAAATATACCAGATTTTTTGATGTTACACTGTTTACAGATGTGGCAGATAACCCACATCTAAAATATTTCTTAAATTGTATTATAATTATTTTTTGCAAAATTCTGACTTCAGGTAAAAATGGCAACACTAGCATTTTCCAGAAGGGCTGGCCTCTATGATCCTTTGAGGTCTGGTGTAAGCTGCTGCTGCTAGTTTTACTTTTACCTTCACTGTCATTCTTCCCCATAGTGACAAAAATGGCACCACTCTGACTTTATATGCTGTGCGTGGTGGCTAAAGTATTCACAACCAATTTGGCAAGAATGTAGTCTTTGATCTTAAAGTAACTCTACCACCTTAAAAAAATGCTGCTGCTAGCAGGTATAAACTGAAGGTACCTAGAGGTCCCAGTACATTTCTGCAGCAACTTTCAATGCCCTCTCTAAGCCCAAATGCCAGCCCATTCTGAGAGGGCAAAGTTTGGACTCTTCCAGATAGTGTTTAAGCGTGCCCGCCCCAACAAACTGGCCGATCACTGAAATGTGCAGCCTCAATGGCCAATAGAAATTGTGCAAGGCAGAAGGTGGCATGCAAGTCCCAACATTGCCAGAAAGGATCAGTGCTTTGCCCAATCATAATGGCCTAGCATTCGGTCATAGAGAGGCAAATGAAAGATGTTGAAGACATGTGCAGTCAACTCTAGGCACCTGCGTTTTATACCTGTTACCAGCACCAAACAAATATTAGCAGTGTTAACAAGCGATTTTCTATTTGTTGTCTGCTCAGATTTAACTTCATAATTTCTAAATGGAATGATTACAAAAGTAGCAGGTTAAAGTGACACTAAAGTCAGGAATTAAATCTTATAAATGCATTCAAGTACCCTATTAACAAAAAAGTAAATTATTTGTATATCACTTGGCTGTAGATCCTCAAATCATCTTTAAATTGGTGCTGACACTGTCTTTCCTTCTGGAAGCATGGCTAATTTTGTTTTCCATGGTTCTTGTGTGTCTTGTAAAGTAGCCACCACTACAGTCTCAATAGAAATTAGTAAACTAAACCTGAGATTGTAGTTCATCACCAGAGCAAACTTGGAGCAGTGCTTACTTTACAACACACGCAGGTACCATGGGGAACAAAAGTAGCCACCCACCAGAAGGAAGGACAGTGTCAGCACCAATTCAGAGATGATTTGAGGATCTACAGTCGAGTGATACACAAATAAGTTACATTTGTGTTAATAGCTAAGGTACTTGAATGTATTTTTAAGGTTTAACTCCTGCGTTTAGTATCACTTTAAAGTAGACATGCTATATTTTTCAAATGTACTGTCAAAAAAAGTATTTGCTAAAAATTACTTCAGGGGTGAATTCACTCAAACAATATTATTATGCATACTGTGCTACATATTTTGTAATGTATTCTGATGCCAAGCCAACATACCCATTGCACGCCATGCTAAACAGAAGAACAATGTGAAACACACAAAGGCCCAGTTCCATTCGTGGTTTCTTCCGACTGTGGACACACCCATGAAGATAAAGATCAAGGTTTCACTGACACTGCTCAGCATCTTCATGAAGTATTTGATGGTAGTGTAGGATTTCTGGGACACATTCTCTTCCACATACTTATTCATAGACATGGCGCATGTTGTAATGCTGAAGGAAAAAGAAATGTTTGTGCTGCTGAGGCCATAGAAAATCCACTGCATGTTTGATATTACACAGAACTGTTTGTTACAATGTCTAATAACAAAATATATAAAATTACTAGTTGATGTGAGACAGATCTGTTAATAATGCTTGCACAAATATAAAAGTTTGATTAGAATCAAAGATAACATGACTAAATGTTGTATTGCGGGCTGCTGTATTTTTCCCTACAATTTGGTGACTTCCTGTCCAGGGATACCTAAAAATATAATACTATTTGTCTACTGTCAGGAGATGATCATGCTCCACCTCATCGGGACAGTTGATTGTCAACTCAACAAACATTTTTCCCCAATAAGAGGGCACGAGCAATCATCCAGATGTGATACCTCCAGTTTTTGTTACTGACACAAGACCACAGGTGCTTAGTTGTTTTCCTGCCACCCCCCTCCATAAACATTACCATGCTTTTACTGGGAAAGAAAGCACATAAAATGCTGGTAAGATCACTTAAAAAGGACATTGGTCATGTTTTTCCTGCCTTTCAGACTACTGTATGATGTATTCATGAAGGGCAATATACTAAGTATAATGTATATGACTGCTCTTGTCAAAGGTATCAAATTAGCCAAAGCACTATACGGCATAGATACAGTGCTATATGAAGAAAAAAACTCACTATATACTATCTTAGCTTGGAGCAGTTGGTCACATTTAGCTGGACCTGTACTGTAATTTTATGGATATTTCACAGCTTAGCCGGCAGAGAGACAGGGGAGGGAATTGATTGCCCCCTCCCCGTCCGATCCTCCAGCGCTGAATGGCGGAACGGACGGGGGAGGGGGCGGGTACAGCTGGCTCTGCCTCTGGATAGGCAGAGCCAGCTGTCACTCAGCAAGCTGGGTGGATCCAGACAAAATTGTCAGGGATCCGTTCCGGCTGCGGCGTCTTAGTATACTGCGAGCTCTAGCTCGCGGTATACTGAGCTTAGGGTGACGGGAGGACGCTAGTTTGTGTCCTCCCATTACCCTTAGGAGAACTATGGGGAAAAGCCCTAACCCCATAGTTGTCCTTTAATGACTAATGGTTGTTTCAACCTACATATGAAATTGATGAATATTAGCACCTGTTTGGTATAATTGGTTAATCATACACCTGACTCTAATCCTACAAAATCCCTGACTTTGTGCAAGTGTGCAATTGATGCTGGTTTGAAGCCGAAGGCTAGTCTCACCAAATATTGATTTTGGTTTAGATTTTTCCTCTGTTCACTCACTTTGCATTTTTTACATTGATAAAAATAAACAATAAAAATATATATTGTTTCGAAGCATTCTTACTTTATAGCATTTTTTTCACACCTGCCTAAAACTTCTGCACAGCACTGTGATATATATATATATATACACACACACAGTATATACTGTATACCTTGGAGTCATGTTCCCCTACTAACAATACTTTCCAGATAAGGTAAGGTCTGGAATATTGTGCGACTGGGGCGACATTTTCAGCTCATTGTACTAAGAAGCTGAAATATTAAGCAGGTATATGCAGGTCAATACTTTTGAGCTATTGTTATTGGAATGGTACTACTCTGCCTCTTGGCTGTACTCTAGATCCAATTTAATTCTAACAGCTTTATCTCCTAGGCATATGTGAGCCAGGCCTTAGTTTTAGATACTGTGATATCCAAATACTGCAATATTACACGATTCAAAGTAATTTTCCCACATAAGTTAGCCTTTCATTTCTGGCTATCTGACTTCTGTACATGACATCTGATCTATGTACATTATGTGCGTTGTTTTTTTTTTTACTTGAACTGTCCTATTTTATTAGGTTGACTGTTCTACTTTTATGTGGTCTAATGGAATACAGAGACAACACACAAAGATGTGGTTCCTTGTTCATAGAAAGAGCAGCACTCCTGGGCATTAGCCCTACTTCTCTAATTTCCTATTGTAATTTTTCTGATTTCTACTGCATGATAGATGCCCAAAAGGCAGGAAGAGAGCGTAATAATGATGTTCACATCCTTAAAGCAAACCTTGAATTGGCAAAACAATAGATTAATGTTAATGTTTCCCTCTCCCGGAACAAACAACAAACTAACCTGTCCTTACTCTTTTTGCTGCTCTGTTACCAAGTAAAGTAAACCTTGTGTAAGCTCCTAGTCATTTTATTCTGAGTTTGCAGAGGGATTATTTCTCTTCCTTATGTGACAGTGTGTGGCCGATCACCAAGTATCTGGGTTGTCACATGAGAGGAAGGGTAGTATGTCATGTGCTCTTCCATACCCTTATGTATAAGGTTTTTCTTTACTCCTGGAGACCGGAGGGGGAGTGAAAATAAGCTATGTGCTGCTGAGGAGGGAGGCACTGAAGTGAACCATTTGCTTTACCGCATGGGTAAAGTACAAGTTCACTTTAAAGCATGCTTATTCTTAGATACTTTTTCACATTTCTCTCCTACTCTATTCCAGCATAACTTTGCTAAAAAGCAGGGGATATCTACAAATATACTTCCAGACCTACATACTGTATCCCCAAAGCAATACTCACACACATTGTCTGACATGAAAGCTGCACAGTATGAGGGTTCTTCCTGGAAATGTCACTGTTCTGTTAAAACTTTCATATCCTGAATCAAACTCAGTTTAGTTTTACCATTGTCTTAGTCAGACTGAATGCATTTTTGTTTTGCAAACTTAATGCAACTCTAATCCTGTTACAGACAAGACTTTTGTTGAAGCATTGTTGTCTTTCGGTTCCCCCGAAGCATCAGGCTACCCAAATATAAGCCATAAAGTATATCTAAAGCAAAAACCTTTTTGTTTTCATTTTGGATAGATTTGGAAAGGGTTTAAACCACTGTCAGCTTTTCTTTGCCTTGACTAGGGAGATTTTCCTTTACTTCCTGTTCTGTAGGCTCAACAGGAAGGGGGCAGATATTTTTCCAATGTGAGGGAGATCTACTCTTTGACGGCTATCACACGAACAACTGTCCTCTTTGGAAGATTTCCGCCCCATTCCTGTTCTGGTGGCAATTCAAAGTTGTGGATTTACTTTCACTTTTATTCCTGGTGACAATAATAATCAGGACAATTATAGAGTTTAAATCAGCAGCAAAAAACAAAAAACAAACAAACAGAAAAACACAGGGGTTCTAAACACTTTCCACTTTTTCCAAATCTAAAAAAGGAGCTTTTAGTTCTACTTTAAAGTCTTACTTGCAAGCCTTTGGCTGGGCTCTCTCTCTGTTGGTGAGCACAGGATAAAGGTCCCTTTATTAAAACATTTCAGGACAGCTAGAAGGGAAAATGCTGTAGGCTTCAGGTCTGCCCTAATAATCTAAGTCAATGGATAGCTGCAGGTGCCATGGATGTGCATTCTCAGTGTACAGTCTTGGCACAATTGTGTGCCGAGGCAAAGTAACTCCCATGGGCATGCAGGACAGTTATATCATCCATGCGCTGCCAATCTAGATACTGAAAACTCAGAATCCGGAAGAATACCGGGAGAAGATGGGAGCGCCTGACTTCACATCGTTGGAGAGGATTCCTTTCTTAGGTAAGTCTGGCATAATGTGTACATATGCTGCGCATACTTGCACATTATGGCAAAAAACTCCAAAATCTTGAAATGAATCTGGTGGTTTACTTACGCTTTAAGTGTCTAGTACAGCAATTCTACCTCCCACATCTAATGTCTGACACTTTCTATCTGACAGATAAACGATTGCCCTTTACAGCTAGTCCTGCAATAAAAACTGATTAAGGCACTTGGAAAAATGTAATAAAATCTTCATGCTTTCTAGATAAGATTGTGGGAAAGGCTGACCTGCTACATGTGCCATTTTATTACTTGCTACTTATGTAGGGCCTGTTACAATGTATGAACATATTACATGAAATTGTGCAAACCACTGGGATCTTCTGCTATTCTTATTTGCAAATCTATACGCACTTTTCATTTGCATCCCTGAAGAACTCACATTTGCAGATTTGCTGTTGCCAGTATATAAAAAGTGTAGCTGTACAGAGACTGTTCCAGCCTATCTTAGCTCTCACAAATACATGAGTGAGTCTCATCCAAAATTGTGAACACTTTATATAAGAAAGTAAATATATTATCTGCTGCAGGGAAAGTTCAGCCAATCTAAATTGTGAACCTTCCCTTAAACAGAGATCACCTAACCAAATATTATCAGTTCTGTCACCAGCATTACAGGGATTCTAAAGCAGCAATTTCTCCAGGTAAGTATTTTAGCTCTTCTATTACATTTTAAGAGACAATTTCAGCAAAACTAGATTTATTGTTAGGTTTATATTTACGATGAATAAACAATCAGCCATTAAGTGTGATGAACTGGTTTTTAGGTGTTATAGACACCTCTGCTGGAAGGCTAGCAATAACTACTCTTTTGGTAAAACAATGCTTTCTATGGTTAATTTTGAACTTTCCTCCTGCTAATATGAGGTAATTTTCCCATGTTCTTGATTTTAGCTTCATATTAAAAATACTGCCCTCATTCACCCGTCAGCTGGGGAATCTCCTATCTAGCAGCTAAATAAAGCTGGCGTGGCCTCCTTGGATGCTAGGATGCTGGTGGCTGCTGGTGTCCTAGCAACCAATAAGCCCTAAGAATTAATGACAGCTTCCCAGTGCAAACAAGCCCTTCTCTTTAATACAAACACACTATATATAACAAGACCTAATACAGAGCCTTGTGGTATTCCACTAGTGACTGGTCTCTGTTCTGAATGAACACCATTTACAACCATACTCTGATAGCTATACTTTAGCCAACTAAGTATCCAATGAACAAACGAAGGGTTAATTCCTAACTTGTACAACATTTTTATGAGATCATTATGTGGAACACTATCAAATGCTTTGCTGAACTCAAGATAGGCTATGTCCACAGCACCACCCTGGTCCAAAATATCTGTGATATAGTCAAAACATTAAATCAGATTAGTCTGACATGATCTGCCCTTAGTAATGCCATGTTTCCTTGGATCCAGCAAGTTTTGTGTTTTTAAATAAACATGTATTCCTTTTTTCAGGAGTGATTGGATTAATTTTGCTACTACAGATGATAAACTCACCTTCCTATAGTTGCCAGATTTTTCCTTACTACCCTTTTTTTGAATAGTTACAATATTAGCTTACTGCCATTTATGGGGAACTTCTGTTAGAAGAGATTAATTCAAAAGATCAGTTAGATGGTCAAACAACGGTACCTCAAAGGCCTCTGAAGACTGAACAGAAGTAAATGTTTAAATGGGTTACTACATCCAGGTCTCCCTCAACATAAGTGTTGTACCCAGGTTTCAGATCTGCAGCAAATGGTGGCCTGCCTGCCTCTGACACTGTAACTGCATTTATAGACAGGAATATTCCCAATATATAGGTCAAATCTTATCCTAATATACAGGAGAAATTACTGTTACAGTAACTACAGATAGAATGTAAAAACTAATATGTTGATAAACCAAGCATCCTCAGTAACCAGTTGAAGTCCGCAGTGTTAAACCCCCTTCCCATCCAGGCCATTTTTCAGTATTCAGCGCTGCGGTACTTTGACTGACATTTATTCCGTCATGCAATGCTGTACTGATATGAATTTTATACCATTTTTTAGGGGCAGATAGAGCTTTCTTTTGGTGGTATTTAATCACCACTGCGGTTTTAATTTTTTACTATATAAAAGAAAAATTACCGAAATAAAAAAAAAAAAATACTTCCCCTATATTAAATGCTAAAACATTTATTATTACCAAATTTATTGGTAAAATATAAAAGACAGGGTCACGTCGGGTAAAACGACACCAAACATGTCAAGCCTTAATTGCTCGTGCGCGCCCCCTAGCGTGTGAGCAGAAAAAAAAATGCCGTCTGGAGACGGCAACCCGCCGATGCAGCTGTGACGGCAACTGGTTAGGATGGGCCTTTTCTATTGCAATATACTGTAAGATGTTATGCATAATTAAAGTTTTATAATACAATCATAATGTTTTCGAATATTCACCCTCGAAAATAGTACTGCCTTTCCTTTGGCAGCAGCTTCAATCCTCGCACCCTGACTTCTATTCCCCTGCTTCCTAGAACCAGTCCTTCCTTCTGATGTGCCCTCTGGAATGTCCTCCAACGCCACCATCCACGAACTCACTCACTGCCCAGGACATTGCCATTCATTTAAAAAACAAAATAGATGCAATCCGAGATGAAATTCCCACTGTCCAGTCACCTTCCCCCATTAATGTATCAGACCCACCATCACACGTTACTTTCCTCTTTTGACCCTGTCACCACAGAGGAGGTTACAAAGCTTTTCTCTGACACCCACCTCACCACTTGCCCCCTGGACCCGGTTTCCTCGGTCACCGTCTTACAACTTCGGTCATCGTCTTACTCTATCCTATACTCTTTTACCCACATTTTCAATCTTTCACTCTCTAATAGCATCTTTCCCTCCTCTCTAAAAGCATGCACTAGTCACCCCAATACCCAAAAAACTCTCACTGGACCCTACCAACCTCAACAATCTCAGAGCGATCTTCTTACTCCCATTCACCACCAAACTCCTAGAACACCTTATCTACAGCCGCCTGAGCTGCCACCTCACTGATAACAACCTTCTCAACCCCTTACAGTCCGGCTTTTGCCCCCTACACACCACTGAAACCACCCTCCTAAAACTCACTAATGACTTACTAACAGCTAAAAACAATAGCCACTATTCCTTACTCTTGCTATTAGGCCTTTCTGCTGCTTTTGACACTGTTGACCACCTGCTCCTCGAAAAAACTCCACTCACTTGGCCTACATGACTCTGCTCTCTCATGGTTCTCCTCTTACCTATCTAAGCGCTCCTTTAGTGTCACCTACAAATCGAAATCCTCCCCTCGTCTTCCTCTTTCTGTAGGGGTCCCCCAAGGCTCTGCCCTTGGACCCCTTCTCTTCTCTGTCTACACCTCCTCCCTTGGTCAATTAATAACCTCACATGGCTTCCAATACCATCTCTATGCCAATGACACTCAAATGTATCCTTCTACTCCAGAACTCACCCCCCTCAGTGTCCTTGCGTGTCACTAATCTACTAACTGACATATCATTCTGGATGTCACAACACTTCTTAGAACTCAACCTTTAAAAAACTGAGCTCATGATATTTCCTCCTGCCCGTGCACCTTCCCCCAACTTTTCCCTTGAGATTGATAACACAACTATCCAGCCCTCCCCCCATGCTAGGATGCTAGGTATCATCCTTGACTCGGACCTCACTTTTCTTCCCCTCATCCAATCACTATCCAAATCCTGCTGTCCTTACCTTCGTAACATCTCCAAAATACACCCCTTCCTCACCAATTAAACTGCAAAACTACTCATCCACTCACTTGTTATCTATCGTCTTGATTATTGCAACTCCCTCCTCATTGACCTAGCTCTACACTGGCTATCCCCCTTCAATCTATCATGAATGCTGCTGCTAGACCTGCCCACCTAACCAACTGCTCAGTGTCTACAACCCCCTCTGCCAATCCCTCCACGGGCTTCCAATAGCTCAAAGGATAAAATTTAAAATATTAACAACCACTTACGCTTTGTACTGCTGCCCCGGCTATCCACAACTTTGCCCCGGCTATATCTCAAACCTTGTCTCAATCACCCTAACCGTCCCCTCCGCTCTTCAAAAGACCTCCTGCTTTCCAGCTACCTTGTCAACTCCTCCCATGCTCGTCTCCAGGACTTCTCTAGAGTCTCTCCCATCCTTTACCCCAACCTGTCCATCTATCTACCACTCTGACTGCCTTTAGGCGATCCCTTAAGACACATCTCTTCAGGGTAGTCTATCCCACCTCAAACTATCCACTGAACCATCACGTTCTCAAACAATTCATCCCCACACAGCTACCTCCCCAAGTATCACTTGCCCCTCCCATTTAGATTGTAAGCCCCGAGGGGCAGGGCCCTCCTTACCATCTTGTCTTGAATTGTATTGTAATGTCTTCCTTATATTGTAAAGCGATGCGCAAACTGTTGCCGCTATATATATATCCTGTTTAATAATAAGGACATACTGTATATTAACTCTTGTAGAAAAGAAACGACGACCAGTGTCCTAACATTTCAGCAAATACAGTAAAACTATTTATATATTTAATACAAATTGAGTTACTTACGCCATAATACCTGAAAGGTGGAACATTTCGGCAGTTAAGTATGACAAGTAGCTGTACAGAAAAACAAAAAGAGGCTCAATCACACGGATATTGCGTGTGAAGCGGGTGGTGAAGGCAGCTACAAATCCAAAAATAACTCCAATTAAAACTCCACCTATTCCCACCACAAAGAAACTCGCCATTCCAGAAAAGACATCCACCGTCTCAATTGTCCTCATCTCACAAAATGATTTGAATAAATTATACAGCACCTAAAAACAGAAAGAAACACGTATGAGAATTTGTGACACACACATTTACTTATCAGAGGGGATACCTGATGTCTGTTATATGTATATGAGTATATGCATGGCCAAAACTTTGACTTTAGTTTTCAATAGAGCAGGAAGGGTAAGGATCCATGTCTGATTTTTACTGCTGTTTGTGTCCTCGCTAAGGAGATTTCTCGTCTCTATTTGTCCTTAGGGTTAGGGTTAGGGTCACCATTACCACTGGGATACAAAGTAATAGGACATCCAAAATATTAATGAATAGAGGAAACATTTTCCAATAAGGACACATGTTCCAGTGACACTGTCTAAAAGGGATTACACATCACTTTGGATAGATCCCCTCTTACCTCTTGCTGCATCTTTGCAAAAAAGGTAAAACCCCCACAACAACACACAGAATGCAAATAACTGAAAAGAGTTTTAACTTTTCCCTACTCTAAAAATTAGTTACACATACCCTTTAAAACATCCTCATGAAAGCAAAACTGGGTCATGCTGACGTACACTTTCCGGAAGTTTTTTTTAATTTAAAGAGGCACTCCAATTATTTAAAAAATTAACCCTTACAGTGGGGCTACCCACGAACTGCAAGGGTTAACTGCTAATTTTTGTCTAGGGGCTGGAATATAGAAGATATACTCACCTAATCCTTGGTCCTGTGACCGCTCTCTTCTCCCCCTTTTTTTTAGCAGTGATCAACTCATAACTCAGTTGATTGGCGTCTCAGTATACCGCGAGCTGTAGCTCGCGGTATACTGAGCTTAGGGTAACGGGAGGACGCTAGTTTTGTGTCCTCCCATTACCCTAAGGACAACTATGGGGAAAAACACTGACCCCATAGTTCTCCTTTAAACAAACAATTGTTAAGCCCTCTAACAACATGCAATCAAAAAATTAAGGAAACAGTAATATAAAAAACAATATAAAATTAAGAGATCTAAGCAAGACAATTGATCTAAACAAGAGTAATAGAAGGAGGTGCACAAAGAGTCCATTTAACTTTAAAAAAAGTGAATGCTCTAGGAAGACTACTTCTTTCATTTTCACAACTTGTGGAATAATATGCATGGCTCAAATTAATCATCAACGTGAACACTGTTGCTGTGTTTCAAACTCCCAAAAGGGCACCACTAAATTCATAGCAATAAAAAAAAATGATTCTGTAGAACTCATTTTTCTATGCAGGCTGTATTCATGTCAATAAATGCAGAGATAAAGCTTTACAGAATGAGGCAGGAATAATCTCCAAGACTCTTAACCCTCATTCACTCCTACCAAATATGTGCGATTAGGGATTCCTGCATCAGGAACTTGTGTTTTCCTGCAGCAGGAATTCCAAATCGTCTGTTTACAAACAGTAGCTGTCACCCATTCAAGTTAATGATCAGGTAACAGTGGCAGAATGCTGGCACACCGCATGTGATCGTATGTGATACTTACAGGTGAAACTCGAATAATTAGAATATCGTGCAAAAGTAATGGCAGTAAGTGCTGCAAAAGGGGCCCAAACCAAGTACTGAGTACATATGCATGCTTGTACTTTTCAGAGGTCCGATATTGTTCTATGTACAATCCTTGTTTTATTGATTGCATGTAATAATCTACTTTTTTGAGGTTGTGGATTTGGGGTTCTTGGGGTTTTCATGAGCTGTAAGCCATAATCATCACAATTATGACAAATCACGGTTTGAATTATCTTGCTTTGCATGTAATGAGTCTATCTCATATATTAGTTTCACCTTTTAAGTTGCATTAGTGAAATAAATGAACTTTGCACAATATTCTAATTATTCGAGTTTCACCTGTATATGCGGTTAGGAATCAATCGTTATCCCTGGATGCATTGATCGTGAAATCTGACATTTAAATAAATCTATTATTTCAAGAATACTAATGTAGTTTAGGGCCACCTGAGTATTTTTCCTGCCAGAGATTTCCCACACACTATTCTATAGCTTCTGCCACCTTATACTGTATATGTGACAGTTAAAGAGCTTTTCCTTTTTTACATTCACACAGAGGTCAGCAAGGTGATTCTGGGTTGTAAAAATAAAAAGCTGGCATGGAAACATCTTGTATTACATGTGTCTGTTTTTCGGTGCTTCAATACAGTCACTTCTTTAATAAAAATGGATAATAATGATTACATAGATTATTACAATGACCTTGTGACTTTAGTTTGGGTGATCAGTACTTGAAGACTTGCCACTGCCAACTTTATAAGTAACTAAATTTAGATACTAGAGTGCAGTGATTTATTAATAGTTAATGATAGTGTTTGGCACATTTAGTGGATAATTAACCTTGCTTCTGCCATTAAGTATAAACCTTATGACCTTTATTTTAAAGTATTTATGCTAAAACTTTTTAGGTGCAATTCCTTAAAGTCATTATAATGTGGCTCCAAATTCCATCTTGTAAATCTACACGACCGCAAGTGTCAGTTTGTTACACCTATAAGGCTGAATTCACAACAGAACATCAGCATTTACAGGTGATGTTGATGCGTTTTAATATCTCCGCTTTTGAGTGTTTTTTAAGGATTATTCAGGGTTGAGCATTTTTGTTTTAGAAAATGGAAAGCTAAGCACTAGGAGGGAGATGGTTGTGCACCTGTCAAATTCTATGGGGCCAAAAATGCTCCATTTTGCTTCAAAAGTAGCTCATGTACTGTTTTGTGCTCCAGGCGTTTAACTACAGACACCTGAGCGTTTATATGTGAACAGGCACAATTTAAAAGCATGGGATTTTGGTTGCTAAGCATTTTGGAGCTTTGAGCTTCAAGCTACAAACCGCTCAGGTGTGAATAAAAGCTAAAGTACACCTGCCATTGTTTTTAAAAACTCTGTTAACTGGCTGCTACCACATAAGGCCCCTTTTACATGGTGTTCTGATCAGGTCTGGGTGTCAGTTTTTCAACCTGACAAAAGTACAATGTTAGTTCTACGGCGAGTTGGCTATAAACAGACCTGTGTCCGTTTACATCCAATTACCCCCAAATCCATCTAGTTTCGCTAAAAAAAAAAATGGAACATTGTTCCATTTTGGCGGTTTTTCCTCCATCACAAGATGGACATAAAAATGTAGCAGATGCTCTTGTTTCACAAGAGTGACATCCGTTCCATGCTGCTACAATCAGCAGGGGATATGTGCATGAATCCCCTGTTGAATGCAACGAGCGGCGCCCATGTGAAAGGGGCCTAATGTAGTCACCTATTCGCCCATCGCTGCATCATCATGCTGCATGTTACATGGCTGTAATGATGACTATAAATTGTGCCCCCAGAGGCATCCCCAGGCTCTGTATCACCCGGGGCGGCCGCTGGGTATCACCTGCTGGGACGTCAACATGCACGCATAATGTCATCACTCACATGCATAATGGCATCACGCGCACTTAACTGCCATCTCGGGGATGCCACGCCGGGTCCCCTTCTGTCTCGTGCATCTGTTGCACTCTTGGTCCATGACCGAGTGCCCGACTTTTCACAGGAGGTGACACCAAAATGACTACCAGTCATTTTGGTGTCACCCTCTCTTATGAAGACACCCTGTGCGGGCCACACCCCCCTTGTGATACCACTGCGTACCCCTGCACTTATTTACCTGGATTTAGCAGCTAAAGTGATGTGAAGTTACTCAGTGTTTAATGTAAAGTCCATTTTCACCTTGTGTGATTAGCATTTATAGAGGTAAAGTAGAGGTGCGGTGATGATGTATATGTGTGTACATTTTCATGACTCACATTGCATGCTTCCCTCATTCTTGTATGAACTTTTTATTAGGTCTGAATCCTAGAAACTCAGTCTGACACCAGGGACAGATTGTAAAGCAGGCTATAAATAGCTGCCCCCTCCTTGTCATTCTTTGTAACACGATCACTAAACACCAGCTCTGCCTTTACGCACAATACATTGTCCATGGTTGGGCACTATGAATACTGATGAATGGGGGGTGAAGAGCTCAGAGAGAGAGTTCAGTTGTAATATAAACACACATTGCTTGCAGAGCACAGAGGTGGCCATTTCCATGGGGATATGAAGAGGAGAGATAACAAAAAAAAAAAGTTTACCGTATATACTCGAGTATAAGCCGAGATTTTCAGCCCATTTTTTTGGGTGAAAAGTGACCCCCTCGGCTTATACTCGATTCAGCGCCAGCTTGTAAAATTAGGTACCTCGGCTTATATTCGGGACGGCTTATACTCGAGTATATACGGTATGTGTTCATATACAGCAACTGCATATGTCTGCTTCATGTAAACTTGGTGTACATTGCTGGCATATGTTTTTTAGAAATACCTCTGCAAAGGTGGAAATGGGCTTTAAGCTTCCAGTCACACAGATAAATAGCAACTATAATACATTTGATTGATTTACTAAAACTCTAAATTCTTCACTATTGAGAGTGAACAAACAAGCATACATGTGTGGACAGTAACAACACAATTTAGGTCAAGCGAAAGGTATGCTTATGAAAGTGAACAGTCCATGCTGAAAGCACTTCTGCCCTCCTTTCCTTTTCTTAGTCATAAGGCTCAATTCACAAAGCATTACACAAGTCTCAGGGCCTGTTTACACTACCCCACAGCATTATCCTGTGCGGACTAGAGTCCGCTTTATGGAGGGCAGTGTGCTTTGTGCAGTTTCATTGCATCACACTATTTACAGTTCCTTTGTTTTTCTAACTTAATTGAAGTGTCACAAAATTACACTTAAGTGTAAGTATATTATATATAAGTATAAATATATACTGTGCCTCAGCTGAGTTCTGTTATGGTTACCAACAGTGAGTTCACGTAAGCTCCGTTATGTTAGGGAAAAATGTCCACATGCTGCATGTTTCCGCAATGTACCAGAGCTTATCTGAAGTCACTGTTGGTCACCTCAAGTCAGCATTGTAATGTGAACAGGACACAAAGAAAATTGTTTTCTATCTGCTCTGGAGGTGACCTACCTTGTTCTTGTTCGCAGAAAAAC